TTTAATAAAATTTATTGAATTATTTTATTAATTTGTTTAAAACTTTACGTCTTTCTATGCTATTTTGTCTTAAAAGTTCTTTAAAAAGTGTTTCTAATCTGAATATGGGCGAAATTAACTTTGGTTTATGATGAAACAAATATGGATCAAATTTGTGAAAGTGTCTTGATGTTGCTAAATTTTTTACTAATTGGTTCTTGTCTTCCGCTTTAAAGATATCATCACGCATCTTTTGATACTTTACATAGACACAATTTGATTTTTTCATCTTGTACTTTTCGCATTGTACTAAGATACACGCAATTTCTTCTAAGAATACTTGATAGAGTGTTGGATCATGTAAATTGATTTTTCGTTCTATAGCTTCAAGATTATACTCTTCTTTCATTATCGATTTGAATTCCCTGTTTATCCATCTTGGTAGTTGTAGTCTAGCTTGATTTTTTGTCTGTTTGTTACGTATGGGCACAGAAACTTTTCTTTTTTTTGCTTGATCTCCTATCACTTTGTAATAGAATTCCAACTCTGCGATCTTGATTAACAACCTAGGATAATCCGCATAAAGATGCGGTTTGAACTGATATTGACTGTATTTTAACGAAAGATCGATCACAAATTGGTCTTTCTCTTGAGAATCATCAATCTCCTTCGAGATCTTTTCGTATTTCTTTACCAGATCTTTTAACTTGTAAAAACGACAGAAGTGAAGTATCTCGATCAAGATATACATGAATTTTGCATGCAAAGAATTATCATTGATTGAAATATGTTTTTGGAAACGCCATTTGTTTTGTTCAAGATAGTCCCATGTTGCTTCTTTTTTATTAAAATTTTCTGTTACTTTAAAATAAAATATTAATATTAGTATATATTTATAATAAATAATCAACGGACGCAGCTGAATTCCTTGTTCTTACGTTGTAGCGAACACGTCATTCTTCGACCCCGCAACGGGTCATGTCCGTCAAAAAAAAAAAGTGGTTTGTGCGGCTACGCCGTATTGCCAGATGGTAAATGGCCCGTTAATAAGAACAGTACAGCTGCGCTGTATTGGTAATTGATAGTATGTGTAAAAAAATGCCCTTTAATAAGACTATTTGAATATTATACAAATTCTAGTAAATATATACTTTTCCAAAAATTATGGGATTGAGAAAACCGGTTTTGAAAGAATTGAATAAAGCAAGAAGTTGACGCGTAATGAACCAATAATATTTGTGCTGACAAAGATGATTTATGAGATTTACAAAGCAAAAGTTTATTTAACGTTAAGAATTTTAACAGAGACAATCCCCAATTCTCTTTTGAATTTTACAAACGCAACATATACAAACATAATTATACAAGATGAAATTCTTTAAAAGACTCTTAAAATGCTTCAAGAAAACCAAAAAACAAAATGATAGTTGGGAAAATATTTGCGAAAAAGTTGAGTCTTGGTCGACAAGTTCGACCAGCAATAAAGAAGATTCTTTTGAAAACTCCTTACCACTCGTCGAATTTGACAATCAATTCTCTGTAATTGATCTGAAGTTTTACACAAGATACGAAGAATACGTTGAAGATGTGAGAAGAGAAGACCCTAAGAATTATCAAAAATTCAAAATGTGGTATAGCTTTTTTGATGCACATGTACGTTCATATCACAATCTATTTAACGAAGGTGTGAATTATTATAATATTGATAGTTGGGAAATAGTAGAACATAGAAGAGAATTTTATGAACTTGATTTTGAATTTGTGATTAAGTTTTTGAACAAAAAATTAAAACATATTTACCTGTTGAACTATGATGATGTGTTGAATTACGCTGAACAAAATCTTGTATTTTAGTAAATAATATTTTGTATTTATATTTTAATTATTGTAAATAAACATGTGATTGTATAGTACATTCCAAATGATACACATGATATGTTGTATTTGTATGAATCCGGATTTGGCATTCCGATAGTGATGCATGTGAGATTACGTAAGCGGATGTGACTCATTGATGATCGACCGTACAAATATCTGTGATTGCGCCCAATTTTGTGATTTTCTTACCCTTTCGTTCATGGTTTTATCAGAGGGATGGTGGA